ACGAGCAAACCGCCCACATGCGTGCGTGAAGATGTGCTAAAAAATTCCCCAAGACGGCTGTGATGGTGCAATAGGATTGAGGAAAGGGGAAGGAGGAGGATGCCCAAGTCCCAGTTATACAATAATACTTTAAACCGCAATAAATTTGATTTCCGGCATGATCTAGGAGAAGATGAAGTGGGAGAATAGGGAAAGAAAGTTTAGTTGGGAGGAGAAGAGAACACTCAAAGTTACATGAACAGAGCGTTTAAAAGAGTACTTTGACCATTGCGGGTCATAGCTAAAGCACCACGTTAATCGTGTATCGCGAGGTGATGGTTGTTAGGACGGCCTAACGAACAGCCTTAGCAAGTAGCCGCGCCCACAGTAGGCTATCGATCGGCCTACACGCGAGCGAACGCATCATGTAGTCAATCAATCGATAACTTGAAATTCAAACTACAGTCAGCCGTTGAGTCACCAGCCAATCCTACCGGCGACTATTTCAGGAGAGAAGCTGACTGGCTCAATGGACATCGTGTTACACGGTTTTTTCGTCCTAAATACGTTGTACCTATTACACTCAAAGACTTCTGCTGTTGCACACTTCTTGTCGTGTTCTTCCTTTGGGGAGTCACACAAGGCGTTATTGGGCGGTGATATCTCGGCCTGGGCTTCCGTTACAACAATAGTCTGAAGAGTCCTGTAACTAAAAGGGAGTACTTACTCATGCTTGGCGGCATCCGTTGCCCTCAGGAGGATCTGTCCGCGGTGCTTGTTAAGAATCCTGATGAGATCCGCGTTGGGTCTAAGGAATGCAAAAAATTAGAGTGGTTAATAATCGATAAATTTTGCGAGGGAAAGCGGTCGAAACCTTATCTAGTTCGACCTTCTCTATACCTCCACTTTATGCCGCTCTGACTGCCAAGTTAAAGCACATCCCAAAAGCAACTAGCGCATACTGGATTCCGTGGCCGTCCGGCTGATTCCAAAAATAAAGTGGAAGGAATTTCATATACCTCATATCTCATGAAGTGTCAGCCGAAAATCTGAAATTTGTTTTCGACTCGAACAAATTACTTAAGATTGGAAGACTAATTATCATACAACTCAATCTCAATACATTTCAGTCATGTCAGGATGCCGGCTTTTGAACAAGCATCTTTCTAACCACGTGCTAAAAGTATATTCTGCAAACAGGATTACTTAAGTAGTAAGCATTTTTCTCACTGATCTTAGAAATTGGACAACATTTGAAAGAAAACATGCACAAAAGTATATTTTACTTGTTTGTTAACAAATCACGCCTTCTTCAAATTTTATACTTGAACAAGGGGTAAATTTTGGTTCTACAAAAGTTTATAATTATGCGATTTTTAGGACCGTGACATTTGCATTCATAAATTAACGCATTTGTCCATTAATTAATGCTACTTATAAGTCATACAACTTGGTGTATATGCAGTGCACATTTTATGAGAACTATGTGACTTCTTACTCACACCGTCAGAAAATATTTACATTTCCCTAGATGCAATGTATATGACATGTAGTTTTGAGATCTTGAATTCGAGTGTGACGGCCGGTATTCAGAAATTTAGAAAGATTTTAAAACAAAAAGCTACCCTTTTTAAAGTATTTAAGGCAAAAATAGCTTATGTAGTTACTCTTATATACCTCTAGTCCCAGCACTTTGCCCTACGAAAACGGTGGTTATAGGGTTTTGGGGGTGGGGAAATAGGATGGGCAGAGAAGGAAATTTTTAGAAGCGAGTGCAAAGTGAAAAAATGTAGTCGAAGCTGTTCCCCACAGCCGCTTGGAGTAAGTTGTTCCGCATGTAAATTTAAGGTGTGCGCGGTGTTTTGCGCCACGGACAATACTAACCTAACTCCAGAACGGTAAGTTAGACCTCAGGTAAGTTGAAGTAGATGACCTCCTAACTATCATTTCTATTTTTCGGGAATTTCAAGAAACCTGTAATTTGATAATGGGGTTTTTCCGCAATACGCTAAACGATAATACAGACTAGGAAAATCTACAGATATAAATAAACAACACTTCTAAATGCAATAAAATTAAAAACGCATATAGCAGTTATAAAGGTATATTCCACTGCATGTCCTAATTCTCCACCCATAAAACCCTACAACCACCGTTTTCGTAGGACAAAATGGTGGGAGTAGGGATTAATAAGGAGGACTACATAACCTACTGTTGCCGTATTAAGTTTCAAGAAGGTGTAATATGCTACCAAACCAGTACAAGAAAATGTATTTTTGTGCAGTTCTTCTATAGCACACATTTTAATTCATTAGTGCAGTGAAAATTAATGAGAAAAAAGGCACACCACCTGCGTAGATATTTTGTAGACGGTATACTTTTTGCCGGAAAGTGCTCGTTCAAAAGCCGGCAACCTGTAATTACTAAAATACCATGAGATCAGGTTGTACGATAATCATTCATCTAACCATACCGAATCAATTTGTTCGAATTGAAAACACGTTGAAGTATCTACGATAAAATGTGCGAAAGAAGGAGTATCTTGGTGCATACTTTCTGTAAAACGTTTGAATGAGTAAAGACGAAAACTGATCACTTATCGGAACAGTTTGCTTGAGTTCGTGCAGGAGTCCATCGTCAGAGATAGGACCAACAACAACAAGAAAAGGCTGTGCCGGAAGGCCATTCAAACGGATCCAGACTCACTGCAGCAGGTTGGAGGGGTGAGGCTTGACAAATTTATGCGCAATGACTATGCGAAGGCGTTTATAAGCCGAGGGCTACGCGTTTGGCTCCGGCAAATCCAAACAGCAACTTCGCCAAGGGTATGGCACACTCTGCCAGACATGAAGGACGTCTCAGAAACGACCGAACAAATTGCTGCGAGGCTTATTGTTGGAACAGCACACAGGCCCAAAGTTACCACGCGCAGTAGGGTCGTGACTACCAAACACCGACTAGATCTCAAAAAATAATCTGCTCCTTTCGGCGTCGTTCCTCTAGGCTGCCTTCGGTCTAGCCAGGAGAAACTGTGGCTGTTCTGTGATCAGCCTTGCGCTGACACCTTGTCTACCCTGTCTGGCTGAAAGCCCACAATCGCCTGGAGCGCCCGCTTGACTCATCAGGCCTTTGCCCGCAAACAATGTAGTTGTGGCGGTCGCGTGATGTCTCAAGGTCATTTTGATGTCTAGCCTTTTGTCTCGTGAGCTGTGCACCTTCTCCTAATTGGCTGGGGGGGGCACCCCTAGATCCTTTAAGCTGCGCGCACAGGTGCAGGAGGGATACACGTCAACTGGCTAGTTTACTCTAAGCAGCTTGTTTCTGCAGAGCCGTTTGTTAGCTCCTTTTCCTACAGTACGCTGTCCAACCGAATTGGTCTTACTGCCTTCTGACTTTGAGAACCTTCTGTAGTCGACTATCTCTCTTTTCGACAGTAGTGTACTGCATCCAGTGCCCAAACTGTCTACAGGTCAAACTTATTGCATGCCGGGATAGCGCATATCTGCAAATAAGGTGGCTGTGCGACAGGGTAACGAAGTATCACAAGTTTCCGCCCAAACTACGAAAACGACCACGTGTTCCACTTCGCAGTCGTCAAGATAATCGACCATGAGGAAATCTAGATGAGCCGAAAATTGATTGAGGCCTGCTTCTCGGGTCGGAATCGACATAGCGATCCAGCACTGGCATGCAGCGCCCTGCGCATCACCTCCAGGCTTGCGTCATTGATCATTGAGTGGCTTGTGCCC